CACAACAGGACGCATATACACAGCGCAAAATACACAACAGCACATACACAGCGTAAATACACAACATCACGCGTATACACAACGTAAATACACAACAGCACGCGTATACACAGCGCTAATACACAACAGCACGCGTATACACAGCGTAAATACACAGCAGCACGCGTATGCACAGCGTATTATCACAACAGCACGCGTATGCACAGCGTGAATACACAACAGCACGCATACGCAAAGTGTGAAATCACAGCAGCACGCATATACACAGCGCGAATACACAACAACACGCGTATACACAGCGCGAATACACAACAGCACGCATATACACAGCGTAAATACACTCCAGCACGCATATACACAACGTAAATACACACCATCACGCATATAAACGATGTAGATACACAACATCACGCATATACACAGCGTAAATACACAACCTCACGCATATTCACAGCGTAAACACACAACGCAGCATATACACGCGTACACAAAGCGTGAATCCACCGCGTAAATACACAGCGTAAATAATTACAGCGCGCCTAGACACAGCGTACATTCACGGTGTAAATACACAGCGTAAGTACACCGCGTAAATACACAGCACGTGTACACACAGCGTAAATTTACAGCACTACGCAACGCACACTACACCACGCACAGCACGCATACACAGCGTACATACACATCACTACGCAACACACGCGGCACCACGCACAGCACGCATATACACGGCGTAAATACACAACGTAAATACACAGAGTGAATACACAGCACGCGTACACGCTGCGTAAATACACAGCGTAAATACACAGCGTGAAAACACAGCGTAGATACAGCGCGACTACACAACAGCACGCATATACACAGCGTAAATACACAACGGCACTCATATACACAGCGTAAATACACAGCACGCTTACACACAGCGTAAAATAACAGCACTACGCGACACACACGACACCACGCACAGGACGCAAACACACACAGCGTAAATACACAACGTAGATACACAACATAAGTACACAGCGTGCGTACACACAGCGTAAACGCACAGCGTGATACACAGTGTAAATACACAACGCGCGTACACGTCGTGTTTTACGTTGTGCTTTACGTTGTGTATTACGCCGATCCGCGTTGTGTATTTGCGTTGTGTATTTGCGTTGTGTTTTGCGCGTGGTTTGCGACAACTCTCGCCCTCGTGTGTCGGGGACGGAAAAGAGGGGGGGGATTACTAGGGGGGATATCATGGCGGGGGCCATGATATTTCCCCAGATCTCATGGCGCCTCTTCTTAGTTCATTACGTCCCTGGCCCTCCCGCTGGGCCGCGGACCTGCCGCCGGTCACGATTTGCACCCCACCATCTTGGACACCCCCCTCTTTGCCGCCCCCAAGTGTGCTCCTGATGGTGACGTCCGCGCTTGGAGTCACGTGGCCTGCACCCTCCGAGAGAGGGCGCGCCCGAGAAGCGCAGGCCCGGGGGAGCCCCGGCGGGGGCCCGCGGGCTCCAGCGCAAGCCCATGGGGCCCTCGCGAGGGCCCGCGGGGGTCGTCTGCCGATCGAGTATCGGGACCTTCGGACGTGGGCGTGTCAGCCGGAGGCAGTCACACACGGCGGGAAGCCCCTCGTGCGCAGGTGCGCCGCGTGTCTCTGCGCGGGCCTGGCATGCTGCGCGCGCGCGCTTGAACGGACCGCGCCCGCCAGCGAGAACGAAGAGGTCAACGCGCCAGTGGACCACAGCCGTTCGCGGGTGGCCCGCGAGCCCATCTTCGAGAAGTTGGCGTCCGCCCTCTCGCGCGCTCGCGGCAACAAGCGGATCTTCGTGGAGAAGATGGTGCATACCCTCACTGCCCAGTGGCCCCAGGTTGTTTGTTGCTCGTCGGGGTGGCGAACCCGACCTCTCCGAGATGCGGGTCTTTCTCGGGTCGCTGTGGGACCCCCGCCCCCGCCGAGCTGACCTGGGGCCAGCCGTGCAGGCTGATGCCGAGGCTCTGGAGATTGGCCTGTGGCGGGCAGTCCAGTCCTCCACGTCCTCCATGTCGGTTCCTTCCCTCTGCCGCCTCCTCTCCCCCTTCAGTGCGCCACCCTGACTTGGCCATTGTCCAGATTATAACCGTTGAGATCGATCGCTCTATCTCGCTCTCTCGCTCTCTCTCTCTCTCTCTCTCTCCTTTCCTCCCTCTATAGTTCTGTAGACACCTAAATGTACATACATAAATCATTTCTCACATGTCTATATATATATATATATGTATGGTAGTGGCCTTCGGCCAGTGCCGCCGATCCGGGTCGCTCGGTGTTATTCTCCAGACGCAGACATTATGGGCGCACACTCAAACGCACAAACTTCTCGGGTTACCTTCGAAACGGCGTAGGAATGCAGTTCGGTCAATAGAGCCATCTCGCAACAGTGGTTCTATCAACGGCGGAGTGCTTGCAGTGACCGTGGGGACGGGAAACAATAATGACATGACAATTCCATACAGGATGCCGATCACTTTGGAAACTCACGATACGTCGTGCACGGAGTCGTGTTACGAAACATGTGGCCTGGACGATGTGGTGCGAGCGGTGGAGGCGAGCCTATCGGCGCAAGGATGCCCTCTTGGGGCGTTTTTTTGAGCCATCTTAGGAGCCTGTCAGGGCGTCGTGGGGGCTTCTTGGGGGCTTTCGGAGGCCCTCGTGGAGGCTCTTGGGGCCTCCTGGGGGCCTCGTGGGCTGGAAGGCTAGATTTTTTCCGCTTTTCGTCTATGTTTTGGGTCCTCTTGGGGCCGTCTTGGGGGCCTGTTGGGCCGTCTTGGGCGGCTCTTGGGCCGCCTTGGGGCCCTCTTGGGCCGTCTTGGGACTGTCTGGGGGCCTCCTGGGCCGTCTTCGAGCGGTCTTGGGGGCCTCTTGGGCCGTCTTGGAGCGTCGGAAAGCCGAAAAAAGTGACAACCCCAAAAACATTGGAAAAAACCAATGGGAATCAACGATTTTTGCCTCTGGGGGCCATCGTGGGAGGCCTCTTGGAGGCCTCTTCAGACGTCGTGGAAGGCTCTTGGGCCGTCTTGGGGCCATCTTGGGCGTGTTCGGGCGATCCTTCGGGGTCTCGGGACTTTCGTAGACCGTCCTCAGAGACTTTTGCGGCCGCGGCCACCCTTCCAGCGCATCCTCGAGATTAGAGCCTTCTGTAAAAGCAGCGCCCCGCATCCGCCGGAAACTCGCACCCCCCCCCCCCCCATCCCCCCTTCCCCGGCAGAGCCACCCCGGCAACCCCCCCAGAGGTTAAGGCTCAGCCTCGAGGCTGTAGCTGAGACTCCTTGAAACTCACACGCCGGATCGGCGGATATACACATCCCTCCTGTTTCAGATTTCTTCGGCTGCACGCGGAAAATTTGCAACCACAGAGGCATCAGGCTGGCTTCGCGCTGTCGTGTCGAATAGTACATCCTGCCCCCCCTGTCTGCAAGCTGCTGCTTTGGGAAGCGCCGCGCCGCGGCCCCCGACGCGGCGCCACAGGAGTCCTGCGTAATCCGGGAGCGCCTCCGCGCGAGCGCGCGGACCCTACACCTCCCCGGAGAAGTAATGCAACGTCTGCTGGTCGTGTCGAAGAATCGTTTGGGGGACTTCCCTTGGGATAGTAACACACTGTGGGAAAAAAAAGCACACACACGCACACACTGTGGGAAACACACACACAGTGTGGGGAAAAACACACAGTGGGAAAACACACACACACACACACACACACACACACACACACACACACACACACACACACACACACACACACACACACACACACACACACACACACACACACTGTGGGAAAAACACACACACACACACATGTGGGAAAAACACGGTGTGCTTTTCCCCACATCCCCGGTAGGCTCCTGACGGCCCCGGGGCCCGAACGCGGCCCCCGGAGGCGAGCAATTACGAAAAGCCGAAGGCGACGAAAACATAGAAATTGACGATTGCTCAAGTCGACTTCCTTTTCCAGGGCAGTGTACGCACCCGCCGGGCGCCCACTCCGTCAAGACGCGGTCAGTCTCCTCTTTATCTCGGCATCGCTCGGACGTGTACGTTTTTTCCTCGGCGAGGACCATCGAGGAGCATCCTTGATCATTTGGCGAAAAAACCACGCACGAAACCGAAAAAAGCACACGGACTGGACATCCGAGCGATGGCGAGTTATGCATCCAGGGATCCATGGCCGATGTAGCACTTGGCACATGCCCATCTCGCTGCTTTGGGGCGGTCCGGCTTCCCAGGCAGCACCCGTGGGTCTCGGGCCTGGGCAACCGGCTGCTCTACATAACAGGACGGTGCACCTTGGGCGCTGGCCGAAATATCAATCAATCGATTGGAATCGCGCGGTTGGTGCCGTGGTCGGCGTTTTGGGGAGCGCGCCGATTTTGGCCAGATCCGGGATCCCCAGAGGGGTCCAGACCCCTCCGTGGTCACCGCTCTCACTCTTGCGAACAGCGCCGCCGTCGCGAGTCTTTTGACCCGCGCGCACATCGATTATTTATGCTCCATGGTTCGAGGGCAGTGATCGCGGGAGTCGTGCCTTCACCGCAAAGAGAGGGAGAGAAAGGGATACATAGATACAGGTAGAGAGAGAGAGAGAGAGAGCGGGGACATTGAACATGGGCGATAGATACTCGCCACGACTGCAGTCGGCGTCGCCACTTTCCCCAAGTGCACGTAATGATGCGTTCGTGCTGCGTTATGTTCTTGGGCTTGGTGCTAGTTTCCACGCTCCGCGTCAATGCGGTCTTATGTATTTGGTGTAGTTCAGGATGGTCGATCTGCCCGCTCGCATGTCGTTGGCTCCTCGTGTTCATCCCGCTCGCTCCTCGTATCATGACTTTTTTTGTGATTTTCCTCTCACCGTAGTCATTTGCATTTTCCTCCTCGTCGTTCCCCTCTCCCTTTGTCGAGCGGTCAGCTGTTTTTTATCGAGCGCCAAGGCTGTTTCCAGCCCCCAGTCCGCGCTCCAGTCGGGCGAGCAATGGAACGCATCGCGCGCGTGGCGAGGCGGGTTGGTGGTCAAATCGTGAGCTAAGCTGTCCGTCTCTTAGATCTGCCAAGGGAGGTCAGGCCACTGGTTTCAAGCAGCGTTCAATCAATCACTCTACTATTGGGTTCTGCGCTTTTGGGACCTCGCGGTCGTGATGCGAACTCAAAACGAGCAGAACCAGGTAACATCAACATCAAACAGCAAGCAGCGTACGATCCGACCTCTGACGACTCGACGATGTGTTCGAGTCGCAGGCCCCTGGAGCTCGGGGCAGGTCTTCCATTCCATGTCGTGTCCAGGCTGTCCCTGGGCCTGGAGACGGCGTCGGGACGTTGGCAACTAAGCAAATCGATGTCTTCGAGTCCCCAGGCGTCTGGGGAGCAGGCGGTCTGCTGCATGATGCTAATGGCCTCTGGCCCATCCCGCCACTGTGCCCGGGTTCTGGGCTTGAGGCGTATTGGATGCATATTAGGGTATGTTGGGATGCCTCTCGGGAGCCTCCCGGAGGCGTCTTGGGAGCCTCTTGGGGGCCTCTTCGGGGCCTCTTGGGGGCCTCCTGGGGGCCTTCGAGCCCCCAGGGGTCAGAGGAGCCGTCGGTTTTGCTGCGTAAGATCTTCGGTTTCCCACCCAGCATTCCCCCAGAGCACCAGGAGCTGCCAAGCGCTCCTGGGAGGGTCCACGTTAGTTTCGTGCTCTGACGTCGCGGGCGAGATTGACAAGGCGCGGTTCTTTGGCTTCCAGGGTGTTGCTGGATGGCTTGACGGTCGGAGAGCGCGCCTCTGGCGATCTTGGGGGGACACCTGTCTGAGGCCCGCTTACAGTCAACCCGCATAGTAAGGATTGGCAATTTTCCCAAGGGTACCCTTGCATTCTTGCCTCCTCGGTCCATCCGTGGCCACTTTCGTTGGCCGCGCCCTGCTCGAAAAGCTTCGACATGACCTTCCAAGGTCCCTGCATCCTTATCGTGCGTCCTTCTGAGACGGGTCGACTGTAATCCCGAGCACCTTGTTTCCCTGACCCTTGTTCTTGGGCTCCCCAAGAGGCACGTGGTCCCAGGCGGTGTGCAGCCCCAGAGCCCGACGAACGGCCTGTGCCCACAGCTCACGTCGGGGTCACAGTCGCCCATCCTGACGACGCTGAAAGGAAAGATCGCAGCCCTGGCGAAGGAGAAGACGGCACTGAAAAACGACCTCCTCAAGAACCATGGCGAAACGAAGATCCAGGTGGTCACCGTCGAGATGGCGATCAACGGCGCGCGGTCCATGAAGACGATGGTCACCGACACCTCCGATCTGGACGCGAACGACGGCATCAGCTATCGGGGCATGTCCCTGTACGACGTCAACAGGGCCCTCCCAAAGGCGCCTGGCGGGTCGTGCGCGCTGCCAGAGGCTGCGTTCTGGCTGTTGCTGACGGGCGAGGTGCCGACCGATGCCGAGACAAAGGCGTTCACGCTCGAGCTTCACAACCGGAGCGCCGTGCCCGCCAACGTGATGGCCACGTTGGACTCCGTACCCAAGGAAACGCACCCGATGACCCAGCTGTCGATGTGCATGCTGGCCATGCAGAAGGACTCGAAATTCTCCGCCGCGTACGACAAGGGAATGAAGAAGTCCGAGTACTGGGAGTACGCGCTTGAGGATGCACTGGACCTGGTTGCCAAGATCCCCGTGGTGGCAGCCGCCATCTACCGCCGTACTTTCAAGGACGGCGCTGGACCAGCATACGACAAGAGCATGGACTGGGCGGCCAACTACGCAAACATGCTGGGCGTCAACAGCAGCGAGGAGTTCAAGGAGGTGACCCGCCTGTACCTGATGTTGCACGCGGACCACGAGGGGGGCAACGTGTCGGCGCACACAGCGCACCTGGTGGGCTCCGCGCTGAGCGACCCCTACTACTCCTGGGCCGCAGGCCTCTGCGGACTCGCGGGGCCACTGCACGGCCTGGCGAACCAGGAGTGCCTCGGCTGGCTGCTGCAGGTGCAGAAGGACCTGAAGGGGCAGACGCCGACGAAGGCGCTCCTCACCCAGTACGCAGAGGAGACCCTGGCCTCCGGAAAGGTGATCCCGGGATTCGGCCACGCCGTGCTTCGGAACACGGACCCGCGTTACATGCTAGAGCGCGAGTTTGCGCTGAAGCACTGCCAGAGCGACCCCCTCTTCCAGCTCGTTGACGCTTGCTACCAGGCCATCCCAGAGCTTCTACAGAAGAAGGGGAAGGTGAAGAACCCCTTCCCCAACGTTGATGCCCACAGCGGGCAGCTCATGCACTTCTACAACCTGAAGGAGGAAAACTATTACACGGTCGTCTTCGCCGTCTCCCGTGCCATCGGCGTCATGGCTCAGACTGTCTGGGCCAGGGCCATCGGGCTACCCATCGAGCGACCCAAATCGGTCCCCTTAGACACGCTGAAGCAGCTTGCGACCAAGTGATGGCTGAGATCTCCAAGTCGCAAGTCAGACGGCTGCGCTCGGTCTGCTGGAAGTGCCGAATTTGTTTGTGACCAGGTTGTGCTTGGGCCGCTTGGTCTCATGCTTGTCGGTGCAGCGATGCCAGAAGTGCGCAGGCTTCGAAGTTTTTGCTATCTTGCAAGTGCATGCGGTCGAGGCTCACGCCCTGCTGCTACGTTGCAGCTCGTTTCATGCAGGATTGCGCTTGCTGTTCGGGGGCGAAGGTCCCTCCTCCACACCCTGACCCGCCCTGGCGTTCTCTCCACTCATCTGTTGCCTGTGATGTACTTTGCCAGGTGTGAGGTCCGCGTGCGCCGTGGGGACACTTCTCGCCTCGGACGGTTCCCAGACTTCGCAGGACGAATTTTGCAAAAAAGCTACCACCATAAGCGCGCTACCTGTAGGAACTACGGCGATGTTGTTGCGTGCTCCACGCGCGCATGTCATAAATAGTTGCTACCGTCTGTTTGCCACTCGAGTGGGGTCGCAGGCAGTTCTCTTGTAGCCGTATGGCGCTTGCTTTTCTAACGGGTATGGTTTCAATCGTTCGTGCATGCGCATTATGGGCCCCAGCCGATGTGACAACCGCCGCCCATCGCTTCCCGCCACTAATGCAACTTACCCAATCAACAACTTACCGCGGATTCTTAAAGCTTAACGCAATTCAACAAGATCATGGGGCCCTGATCCAACCTCCGATCTTCACCAGACGATCTTTGATTGAAAGGCCCCACGCACACACATGTATCATGTGTATATATAGTCCTTACGAAAAGGGAGGGATGCTTTTGGAGGCGGTCCAGAGGGTTTACACCTTACTCGCCACCTACCTACACACGTGTACACGCAGGGCCCACACACACCCCTGGGGCCGACCGCCCGCGGTCCTGGCCGAAGGCGCCGCAGTTCGGACCTCAGGGGCCCAACCAGGCCGCCCTGCGGACGCTCCCCCCTCGGGCCTCGCTAAGGCCCTCACGCGAGGCGGGGGCCCCCGTATGCACTGTGGCCCCACTTCCACGTTCCTCCCCCTGGTATGCCGTCTAAGTTCTTCTTCCAGATCCTCCTCGATCCCTGACCCCTCTCCCCGGAGGCTTCTGAAGGGGGGGGGGGGCGCCAAAGCCCTTGCAACCTCAGGCCCCAGCGAGGACCCCGAACCAGAAGGCCGCGAAGCCCCCGGGGCCCATCCAGGAAGCCTTTGTGAGACCCCTCGAAAGCCACCAAGAAGCCACGCTCCCACGAGGGGCGTCCCCACCCCGGGGGGGGTAACATGGCCGCCGACCGCTGGGCGCACCAGCGACGGCGGCTACGTTACCCCTCCTGGGGGGGGGGGGGGGGGGGGGGGGCAGAATGCTCCATGGCAGCGTGCGGGGGGGGGAGGCTTAAGGCCGATAGGCTTGAAGGGAGGGGTAGGGATAACAAGGAGCGGATGGCACCAATGACGGTTTTCAGAGCGAGGCGAGCAGCCCCGCGAACTCCTCGCCGCGCCGCCCCAGCGCGGTCACGCAGGCTGGCGCCAGCGCCTGCTGGGCGAGGACCGCCAGGCCATCGTTCACGTAGATCCGCGCTGCGCGGTGGTCGTTCCACCGCCCGCGGCGGATGGTCCCGACCACGCCGCCGTGCACCGCGAAGCCGTGGGTGGCGCCTCCACGCCGCAGGCTGTGCAGCTTGAGCTCCAGGTGCCCCAGGCCGAGCTCGTGGCAGCCGCGCTCGAAGAGGGCGCGATACTCGTAGCCTGTCCCCTCCAGAGGCCTGGCCGACGGGCTGTGCACTCAGTGCACTCGCATAAGGGGCGAGGATGGCTCTGCCGATGACGGGGCCGTCGATCGTGATGATCTCCTGGGCTCCCCGCCTCGCGCCTCCCTTAGACCACGGGAGCGCCACCACGCCAGTGAGCGTGCAACTGATGGCGACGTGCTCGGCAGCCATGGCGAAAATTCTCGCCAGTGCGCATCAAGCAGTGGAAGGCGGCGGCGGTGACGATGTCTGCATCGCGTCGCCCCTGCATCCGCATCCAATGGCATAGTCCCAGCAGCATGGTGACGGAGAGCGGAGGCGAGCGCCTGGGCATCTCGATCCGGCCCCGCACGCGGAACAAGTGGGAAGACGCGCCTCTGGCTGAGAAAACTGGACGCCGCTCAGGGTGTCGCCGGCGAGGCTCCGCCCCTTGCCCTACAGCCAGACGTGCCCAAGGTAGACGCACAGTAGCTGATCCATCTGCTCAGCCGTGACTGCCAGTGGCCACCCAGCACTCTGCTGATGCGGTACGAACAGAGAAGCGGCTCGATGATATCGAGTTCGGGTTCGGGGAACACCTCGCTGAAATCGCAACGGCCCCAGCGCACGTCGCGCGCGGGCCGGGCTCGCCTGGTCGGGATAGTGTTACGTCGGGCCTGTCCCCCTACAGGGGTATTTTCGACGAAAGATAAAAAATACAAAAAATAGTCAAACAATAGTCCAAAAATAGTATGGGGATTATTTGTTGAGTATGTTTTTGCCTTCTTGGGGTATTTTGGGGGTATTTCTAATTTTTCGTCGAAAATCCCCCCGTAGCGGGACACGCCCGACATAAGGATAGTGCTGCAGGCGTCCAGGCACATTGGCGGCTCTTGCGGCTCGGCGCGTCTGCCCGGTTTATCACCACGCCGACAGGAGCCGAGGGCGGGCAGGCTGCCCGAGGCCATCTCCAAAGCCTCGGAGGTTGATAGGAGGAGGGGGAAGGAGGAGGACGAGGAGGAGGAGGAACCCCCTCCCCCTCTCCAACTTATGGTGATGGTGGTGGAAAACAGGCCCATCTTTCTGGAGAGAGAAAAAGAGAGAGAGAGAGAGAGAGTCGGAGGTTGAATGACTCCTACCCTGACGCGTCGATTAAGGAATTGGCCGTTTTCGGCTCGCGAGAGGGCGTCGCGGCCGTCGTTTTTGCGGGTCCAGGTCCGTCGGTTTCGACCCCAGGCTGTTTTCATTAAGGAGGGGTTTACTAAAGGGAGGTTTGTCCACCGCCGAAAAGCCGCCACCTTGCGAGCCACGCGGTTGAGTTGAATACTTCCCGAACGATGCTTGACTAGAACAGCGGTGGATACCTGGCTGTCCAGAACCTGCATGAACTCGCACTCGAGGTTCTTCTCAGCACGAAGGCGCCACTTCAAAGCTGAAAGGAAGGCTCTCATCTCTAATTCATTCATTTGCGCGGCTTCACGCCAACTGAACTGCACCGCGGTCCTCCACCTCTACCACTTGGGATCGATAGGTTGTCGGGGCCACCCCGACGGGCCGAACAGCTGCCCGGTCGAGATCCTCACGTCGCTCCCCTTGGTGCCGGTGGACCTCGTGACATCCAACGCGAGCGCCTGCCCTGGCGCGAAACCTCGGGTGGTGGTGGAGCTGGTCGCGGTGGCAGGTGTCGACGTCGATCGAAGCTCATCGATGGAAGCCGGGGCTGACATGTATCCCCACCTCGTGGCCAGTTGCCCGAGCAGCCAGGCCACGACCTCCACGTGGTACGCATTCCCGAGGAGGGCGCAGCGGGTGAACTCGGCGTGCTGCGAGTCGTCCTTCAGCACGCTCGACGTCACAGCCACCTGCGTGTGCCCCTTGCGGTAGCCCATGAGCACCTCGCGCGCTCCTCGGCGGACGGCGGGCGCAGCGAGCCCTGCTCCGTGATGCAGTGCTTCTCGACGTACTGGTAGGGCGGCAGGCTGTAGCCGTCCGAAGCCCACCGCTCAAGAGCATGATCATCGCATTGTCGGATGCCAGCTGGCCGCGGCCTGGGGTCCGACCGCCACTCCCTGCGCACGGCCGCGGGGAGCCGCGAGGTCGGGTCGTCCGCTGCCCGCCACTTCGCACCTGGGACCAGCCACCTGGGCACTGCGCCGGGGTCTGCGTCCATCTTCACCTGCAGCCAGGCGCCATGGTCCACGAGCGCGATCGAGGCGAGCTCCACCAGGCTAAAGGAGCACCAGTATAAGCGGGGCCTCCTCATGTGGCACACCTGGCTGGCGCACAGCCGCAGCGGCTTAACCCGCAGCGCCTCGGAAACGGCTGCTATGTCGCTCTTGTCTGCGGAGTCCATGTTCTCGAACAGGAAGGCCAGGTCCCAATCGTCGAACACCTCCACCACCAGGTCGAGGATGCGAATGACCTCCTCAAAGAGGCCCGATCGGGATCGTTCAGGCCCTTCCTGTCCACGCTCAGCCTGCCGAGCCCTTGGCATGGGAAGCCCCCCGTGATGAGGAGGCGTCGGCCCCGCGCGCATCCTGTCTTGATCGTGATCAGCACCTCCTTCGTGATCCCCTTGATGTCGCCGAGCTCCTTGACTGACAGCCAGGCGTTCCGAGCGACCCTCGAGGCAACTGGGCCGATCTCGGAGGAGATGTGCCACATGGTCTCCAGGCCCAACTTGCCCCAGCTCTCGCGCGCTCCGCCGATGCCATCGAAGAGGCTCAGCATCACTAACTCCTCCTCGCTGGCCTGCCAGGCCATGCGGCCTATCGCCTCCAGCGCCTGCTCGCCTGCTGCCGGGAGTCCCCTGCTGATGCACACGCCGCCGCCATCGGGGCTCGCGTCGGAGCAGGTAATTTCTGGCGACACGTGGAGGCGGAAGTCGGTGCAGTGGAGGGGTCCCAGAAGCATGATTATCGTGAGCTCGTCGAGTATGGCAACTGGTACGTACCGTCCAATCACGATGGTCTCGCGACACTCACTTCCACACCCTCTCGAAGCATGCCATGCCTGCCTTGTGATGGCCACACGCGGATCCAGCGGCCCAGCATGATTTGCCCGTGTTTCTTGCTGACCCCAGGGCGGCCTGGGACCCACATCGTTGGCGACATGAGCTGGTGCACGTAGCCTCGCAGCGGCTCCTTCCGACCCAGCTCTCCGTGGCTGCGGTCTCCAAGCGCCCGCGCCTCGAGCTGCCCGAGCACGCCCTCGGCGGGCACCGCCGGGGGTCCCGCGCCGCTGGTAGGCCTCGCGAGCGGCTGGCAGCA